TTAGAACACAAACTCCAAACGGTTGCCTTTGAACACATTTTGCGCTCTGCTACTACGCAAGCCCTTGCCAACTTACATTTTACCTTGGAAACATTCAGTGCCAATCAGCTGCGGAAGACTATGAACCTATGATAGCATATGATAGCCTATCTGAAACACTCCAAAAAAACACAGCCCATACGTTGAAAAGCTACCTGCCTAGTTGCAGCTTACATTTTACTGATTATATGATACTATATGATATTTCATTACATCACATAAATCTGTTCTTAACAGCTCTGCCTCAGCAGTGCTGGCATCTGGCATAGAGGTGTCACCATCTTGAGCTGCTTTAGCCTCCTGGTAGGATCGTGCCCGGAACACTCCAAAAACCACAGCCCGCATGTTAAAAACAGAACCTGCCAAGTTGTAGCTTACATTTTCTGAACAGCTATGAAGAACATTGAAGAACCAATTGCGCATGACATCACATGAACTTCTTCTTTAGAGATCTTTACATATCTTCACAGCTCTGCCTCACCAGTGCTTGCATCTGGCATAGGGGCATCACCATCTTTAGCCGCTTTAGCCTCCTGGAAGGATCATGGAACATGCCACCCAAAGACCCCGAAACAGTCCAAAAACACAGCCCGCATGTTGAAAGAAGACCTGCCCAGTTGCAGCTTACATTTTTCTGAACAGCTATGAAGAACATTGAAGAACCAATTGCGCATGACATGGCATGGACTTCTTCTTTACAGCTCTGCCTCAGCATTGCTTGCATCTGGCATAGGGGCGTCACCATCTTTAGCCGCTTTAGCCTCCTGGAAGGATCATGGGCTATGCCACAAAAGAGGCACTGCACGCTAAAGAAAAGACCTCAAAAGTTGCAGCTTACATTTTTTCTGATTTGCACTCGTTTCATTATCTATAGCTCTGCCTCAGCAGTGATTGTATCTGCCATAGGGGGATCCTCAAACCACATAACGCACGCTAAAGACAAGACCTGAAAGGTTTCTGCTTACATTTTCAATAGCCAAAAAGAAACGGTCCTCGGCCTGATGCTCCGATGCTTGGCCCTCCTTCAGAGTGGGCTCCAACTCCTGGCAAAAGGGACCACGAGAAAGTGATTTTAAAAAATAGAAACAACAATACAGTAAATCAACAATATATCAAAATCCAAATCAGGATCCTCAGTACGAACGGGCTCTGGTATCTTGACATCCTTCTTGGTGGGCTCCTGGTCCTGTAGCCAAGGATCATGGGCTATGCCAAAAAAAACAAGCACTGCACGCTAAAGAAAGACCTGCAAAGTTGCAGCTTACATTTTTCTGATTTGCAAACATATCATTCTCTAAAGCTCTGCCTCAGCAGTGATTGCATCTGGCATAGGGGCGTCACCATCTTTAGCTGCTTTAGCCTCCTGGAAGGATCATGGGCCATGCCAAAAAAAACAGGCATTGCACGCTAAAGAAAAGACCTCAAAAGTTGCGGCTTACATTTTCTGATTTGCATTATTATGCATTCGTTTCATTCTCTATAGCTCTGCCTCAGCAGTGATTGCATCTGCCATAGGGGGATCCTCAAACCACATAACGCACGCTAAAGACAAGACCTGAAAGGTTTCTGCTTACATTATGCCAAAAAAGAAACGGTCCTCGGCCTGATGCTCCGACGCTAGGTCTTCCTTCAGAGTGGGCTCCAACTCCTGCCAAAATGGACCACGAGAAAGTGATTTAATCAAAAATTATCAAAATACATCCACAATATTCCAAAATCCAAATCAGGATCCTCAGGAGGAACGGGCTCTGGTATCCGGACATCCTTCTCGGCGGGCTCCGCGTCCTGCACAGAAGGCCAACGATCCAAGACCTCTACACAC